CTCAGCCCTTCGCTGGGGAACCCTCCCGCCTTGCCACAGGGAGGGAGCTGCTCGTGCAGGGCCATGCCCAGCACCTGGCAGCGCACGTCTGCGAGGACGGGCAGGTTTTGGGGGACACTGGTGGCCCTGGGCTGTCCCCATCAAATGCTGTTCATCCATGTATGAGCGGGGCCACCCCACTTGCCATCCAGACAGGCTTGGTGGTGGGCAGCACTTCACAGGGTGACGTTTTGGATGGACAGAGATTGTGTGGCCAAAAGATGCTCACTTTGAGGATTTTAAGGCATTTTTAGCGGCAGCCCGTGTGTTTGGTTTTTGCGGCACATGCCTGTGTGCAGTGAGCATCCGAGGGGAGTGCGCTGCCGCTCTGCTGTCAGGCAGGCAGGAAAAGCAGCTGAGAAGGTCGGCCACAGGCTCTGCTGTCGCTGGAGGTGTTCCTGCATCCCATTTCGGGCTGATTGTGCGATGAAGTTGTAAGGGTCAGCTTGCCCGGTGGGTTAGGCAAGGATAAAAAATGCCCACGTCAATATATGCATTTTTCTTATCCACCCACATGGTGTTTTTTGTGTGTTGGGGGTGGCCTCCAGAGCTGAACGCACTGATTTACCCAGGAATCAGCACTGGGGTTTAAAGCAGATATTTTTGGTCACATATGGGTTTGTGAAAACACGAGTCTGCATCATCTCAAAAGAAAGGTTGCTTGTTTATTTTTTTGTCCTTTCCAAGAAGAAAAAAATCTATTTTTAGTAAGTAGCCGGTGTGGCCGAAGTGGTGGGAGGCAGCAGCACTGAGCCTGGCTGCAGCAGCTGGACTTGGGGCGGCCACGGCACGCAAGCTGCATTTATTCAACCCCCCTATTTTCCTGGTTTTGGTGGGAAAAAGAGACCCTCATGACCTGCAGAGCACCTTTCCATCCAGCAGTGGCTTTTTTGGCAGTGCAGTCAAGCGCCCTGGGCTTCCCATGGCGGGCTGAGCACCACAGCCGGCTGCAGGGCTTCTCCTTGGCCCCTTTTTGTCTTTAGCAAAATGGGAATATCTGTGGAAGAAACGATCCAATAGGATTGTCTCTTCTGTGCCCCCTGTGATGGATTTCTGTGATGGGAACTGCTCCTTGCCAAGCATGTGGTGAGGCCGGGAGAGTTTGATTGCGTTTCTCTGCCCTGTTCAATGGGGAGGAAAAACTTCTGACGGAGTCGCCGCTGCCGTCAATCTGAACAAAAGAAATTTCTCAGCCGTGGGAAAACAGCCTCTGAAACCCCAAAATATTACAAACCTTCTGAATGCTCTAAGGAATTTTTTCTTCCAGCTCCCTTTACTGCCATCCACTTCAAACTCCTTTGGGGGGGCAAATAACTCCCCCCCTGCCCCAGCTCAGCTGTGTCCTGGGAGTTTTGTGGTCCCCGCAGCACTGCCCCAAAGAGTTGGGCACCACAGGATGGCACGTAAAGTGCAAGTGTTAGCATCCACCTGTACTGCACTCCCAGAACTTGCTATGGAGACCTAAAAGCTGCAGAGTGAGAAAGTGGTTTGCAGTTCAGGTTTTTCTGTTTTCACACCCTGAAATACAAAGCTGCAAAGAGCTGGTGTTTTGTTTTAACAGAAGGCATCAGGTTTCTGAAAACAGGAGCTGAACCTGCAACTGGGGAGCTGAGGCAGCACCTGCCCTCTCCTGTCCCAGACCCGATGCTGTTTCACCTGCAGAGCAAAAAGTAGGTTCATTATAGTGTGAAAACTTTCAAAGCCTTCTTTTTCGAAAATAAAATGAGTGCCTGAGTGTTAAGGTACTTATTGCAACAGACATGTACTTGTCTGTGTATGTATGGATACATATACAAGTGTTGTGCAACTCATGTATGTACATAACAAATAACCAGTGCAAGTAACCAGTGCAAGCACAGCAGTTCCCTGCTGACACATGCAGCGCTCTCTGCCTCTGCTGCAAATAGCAACTTTTTAAGCCCAAACGCAGGGGGTTTTGCAGGTTCAAGCAGGGTGTGCAGTGGCAGGGAGGTAGGCAGCCATCACCAGCGTGGCGCAGGGAGCAGTGTGCCTCCACACCATCCAGATGTCTGACTGTCCAGGGACACTGATTTGACTTTGGCAGAAAGCTGGGTACCTCTGCAATGAACCCAGGCTCTCTGCCCGCTCTCCTCCCAAAAATGGGGGCTTTTTTGGGTTTATTTGGTTTTTTCCTCCTATTTCTGTCGTGTGGCTGGCTGTGTTTGAGGGCTCTCACACATGGATGGAGGCAGCAGACTGGTGGTGGGACCAGTCCTGGTAACTTATTCTAGCTGGTCCACAGTTTCTTCCTCCTGAAAAAAACAAAACAAACAAAAAAACAGAGAAAATATGATATACAGATATTGTTCAAACACGTGAGGACCTGGGTGGTGGTGAGTGCTGGGATTTGTGATAACACTGTGACCTTGCGCCAGTAATTTGCTGGGTTTCTGTTCCCCAGAGTTCAGGCTGCCTTAAAGTGTTCGCGTTACAGAGCTACTCATGGCCTGCGTTTTGCCAGGTGTAAAAATAGAATTAATTTCCTTTATTTGGTTTCCTGCCTCAGAGAAACAGGAAAATCATATGAAATGTTTAATTGCAAAGGGCCAATATATAAGGTTGTGTACTGATAACTGAGGGTGATACGTGGTGCAGTTTAGGTGTTCTCCTCTCCCGCTTTTGTTCTAAAATCGACTGCTTGCAAAAAAATAACAAGCCACGTGCCCAGCTGATGTTGGTTTGCACTTGGGTTTGTGCTGTGGGAGGTAAGGGGGATGAGAGAGGGATCCCTTATTCTTATGCTGTTGCTGCTGCATCCTCTCCTTGCTCATCACTTCACTCCCCAGTTCATGGTCATGGCACACACACTCCTGTCCCTGACACCACATGGGGAGAGGTGGGAGTCGGGGCAAGGTCCGCTTCTGGTGGCCCACCCCCCCATTTCGGAGGCACCCTGGCCACTGTGCTGCATGGCAGGGCTCCCCCTTTCCCTGGCTGCAGCAGCACCCTGGCTTCTCCCCGCCATGCTCAAAGTGTCCTTCTGGTTTTGTTTTCTTTACTTATTTTTGGCCCTGAGGTTTCCTTCCAGAATAGCTCCAGGGCGTGGAAATAGGATGGTGCAGCCCCGACCGCAGCCTCGGCCCCACGGTGGACCCAGGCAGGATGGGAGCACACTGCTCTGCTCATTTACCACCCTGCAAAAATAATAATTAAATTTGGACATAGGAGCCATGTCAGCCTGCGCCAGACAGGGACGCCCTGACCGTGAGGTCTCCACAGGCTCGGGCAATTACATCAAAACCGTATCCAGTGCCCTTGCTGGGCCATGCCAGGTGCAAGCCCACCTGGTTGCAGCGCAAAGCTGGTGCCAGCGGCTGGTGCAAACCACACCAGCGCTGGGTCATGGGACCGATGGCGGGGCTTGGGTGCAGCAGCAGCTGCCGGGGGGTTTGTCATCGTCTGCTGTGCCAGGGCAGCGATGCGGCCATGCAGGGCTTGGGGAGCGGGCTGCCTGCCTAACCCCCAGCTTGCTCGCCAAAGCATGTCATGAGCAACATGGCAGCGTACTTGTACACGTTAAAAAAACTGATGGGAGTGCAGAAGGGAAACCATTGCATTTGCATATGTGGACTGCATTCTGCATCCCTGCCTTGTCATCTCAACGTGCTCCCAAAAAGTGGGTTTTTGCTGCTGTCACCTGTTGGCACATCCCCCAGAGGCAGGTGAGCTGTTCCGTGTTTTGTTTCCAGCTGTTGATCTACAAAGGCAAGATTATTCTCATGAAGCTGTCAGATCCTGTGATCACTTTTAATAACAGATACCAAACACTGCTTTTGGGCAAACAGGTGACCTCTCCAAGCCCTGCTGCCTTGGGGAGCTGGAGTTCTTGCAAAAGCATTAAGAAACCAATGTTCCAACCCTGAGATGTGATGCTTTTAAAAATTTTATTATTATTATTATTATTTTAAATGGAAATGTTTTGGATGCATTTGGCCAACTTCCCTGCTGGTCTCCCTGCATGGTGCTGTGAGGTTGCTGCTGCCAGTGGCCTGCCCAGGCAGCACCCGCTCCCTGGCCCAGGAGCTAAACATAGGTGCTGGCCGCGTGAGGCACTTCAGCAAACGTTAATTATCCTGGTGCTTTTTAGGGATCTTGGGTGAAATACGCATTTTTATAGTCAGTTTTCTTTTTTTAAGCAGCCTGGAGCAGCAGCCCTTTAATTACATTAAAAATCACCTCCCAGCAGCACTCTCTGTTCCCCACAGCCCATGATGGTGTGGGGCAGTGGGAAGCAGGGCTAACTCTGTTCTGTGCCCCCCACATTACCCCCCAGCAGGGCAGCCCCTCCAGCCGCCCCAGCCCCACGGGGCTGCGGGGGAGCCAGGTCCCTCATGATGCTGGTGTCTCTCTTTAACGGAGGCTGCTGCGTTGGCATTGGAAAACTGCATGGCTTCTTTTTTCTTTTCTTTTTTTTTTGTGTGTGGGTTTTCCTGGCCCGAGGTGCCAGCTGAAAGCCACAGCCAGCTCCAGGCCACCCTTGTAATTATGTCTCCTCACAGTGACACAAGGGGCTTTGAAGCCCATGGGGCAGGCGCAGCTGTGTCCTGCAGTCCTGGGGTTTGCACAGCGGGCACACGGCCCGGCTTGCTGCCAGGGCTGCCGGACCCTCGGGGGGCTGCAAGGGACCTCTCCCTCCCCAAAAGCATGTGATGTGAATGGTATTTCATCAGCAGTTAGCAACTCCCCACGATGTACCTGTTCATGTGGTGATGAGCAAGAAGACAAAATAACAACAACAACAACAAAAAGCTTTCTCTTGCTGGTCCTAACCTGGGAATTTGGTTAACTGGAAATCCTTTTCTTCCCAATCAAATTCAGACTCAAACTGGGCTCCCCTGGATGTGGGTGAGGCTTTCAGCAAGCGGAGCTCCCGGTTTTGAGCAGAAACATGAGCGTTCAGGTCTTCCACTGCAAAGCGGATTTTTCTGCCCTAAATAACCATAGTTTTATCACTGGCTAACATGTGCATCATCGACCTGCTTGAAGGCATGCATTTTCCAGCCCTGCCGTTCCATCTCTGACGGTTGTAGGGCTGAAGGCATTGGGCGGGATTTGCAATTCTCCTTGCCACTGTGGAAAGCAAAGCTGCATTCGGCGAGGAGTCATTCCCCTGAGCTGCTGCAGCCCGGGCGCATGCAGGAGCGGCAAGGGGCCTTTGCTGATGAGTGCAAGAAAAATCTGGGAAAGAGGGAGCAGAGGTGCACTGGAGAGCTGGGTGGCTGAAATCCCAGCAGGAAACGATAAATATAGGGAAAGGAGAAAGGATGTCCCTGCAGAGGTGGGTGCAGGGGTCAGCTGCAGCACCTGCGTGCCCCCATCCCCTGCCATCAGGCGCAGGGCAGGAGGGGTGGGCTCCGACCACTGACTGTATCCGGCCACCGAGGTGCCCGCTGAGATGTGGGTGGCCGTGAGGGTGGGGGTTTTGCATTTTTTTGCCCCAGGCAATTATTCTGCTTTTCTGGGGACATGTACAGAGCTGCCAGATTTCAGCTGGGGAATACCTGATTTTGGAGAGCAGGGGGCCAGGCTGGCCCCTGCATGGGTCTGTGTGGTTTTGGGGGCACAAGAAATGAAGCAGACATGCATTTTCTAACATCACTGTGGCAGAAATGGCTCTCGAAGGGGGACTGGTGATACCTGTATCTGAGTCCCTTTTTCTTTCCTTGCCCTTCCCAAGGCCCGTTTCGCCTCTGCAGGCAGCCTGGAGAGGGACTTGTTTGGATTTAGCCTTTTTTTGTCTGACAGCTATGCCCAAGTGACTGTGGAGCTGGGCCTTTGAGGTTGGTCTTTTTTGTCTTCTTGAAAAAACAGTGACAGAATTTCCCAAAAAGGGAGGTAGACACCCCCCGAGAACAGATTTCCCAATATTTATTTTAATTTAAGCCCAGAGTGTTATTATACCCTCTGGCCTCCCAGCCATTCCTCTGAGGCCAGACCCTCAATTACGCGGCGCGGTGCAAACCTCCCCGGGTTTGGCAGCGGTGTGGGGTGCTATGTTTGTGCACCAAATCTGCCAGTGTTGAAGTTTGGGGGTTTTTTGGCACACGCCGGCGGGCTGGCGTCACTCTGGGCAGGGCGGTGACTGGCTGGGGGGGGGGCAAAATTAGACCTTATATCCCGGCAGGGCAGTGGCAGGAGGAAATCTGTGCTGACCGAATCTGCGAGTAGCCGTCGGTGCTCTGGCGGGGTAAGCTTGCTGCTGCTTTTCCCAGCTGGGTTGTGCATTGCCATCTGCTTTTTTGGGGGGGATGGGGGGGCTCAGCTTGCTGGCAGGGCTGGATGCTGCTTTTAGTCCTTTCCTGGGTCTGTGGCTTCATGAAGCACTCGGGTGGAGGACATGAGCATCCAGAGCCTCTCTGCATGGCCAGGGAAGCCAGCTTGTGGCCAGTTGTTTTCTAGCGTGAGTTAAATGAAGATGGGGAAACTTCAAGTGCAGATAAATATAAAAACAACTCCCCCCAAACCTCAGCACAGCTGATGGTGGGTTTAGCCGGAGGAAGGGTAGGAAAAAGGAAGGTTAGTGGGCCTGGCTGAGCCCAGGGGGATGCTGGGAGCATCCCTCCCTGGGGGGAGGCTGGGGCTCTGCAGGAAGGGTCGGGCATGCTCCTTGCTCAGGCCAGGATGGAGGAGGGCAGGCTGGGTTTTGGTGCTTAGGGGGTGCAGCTCAGACCTGCCCAGAGCCAAGCCTCCCCCCCGCAGATATGCCTGCGGGGGGCTTCTTGCATTGGTGCCTTGCCACTGCTATTTTTGTCAATGGCAGACTGTAGAAGCCGATTATATTAATTTATTTGTTTACTTATTTATTTTTCCTCAATGAGGTTAAACTCTCTGTGGTGTAATTCCCGGGGGTGTCGCTCCCTGGACAGAGCCTAAGCAGGTTGCAGGGTTGTGGGAGGGCAGCCGCAGTGGGCAGCACTCCCGCTGGCTGCTCCGGTCACATCTCCGGCAGGGGCTGGTTTTCCCCACTCGCTCACAGGTGATGGGGAAGCAGGAGCGAGCAGTCCTGCTCAGGGAAAACAATGCGTGACCCCATCAAGAGGTGGCTGGAAGTCAGCCTTTCTTCCCCCTGCTCACCCATGTGGACACAAACACTTGTATGGTTTGGGATAGTGACGGTGCTCTCTAGCTGAAAAGCAAGCCCTTGCTGTTTCGCTGTTCCTAGAGAAAGCAGCCATGAGGACTGCCCTGGTCTTCGCCTGTCTGGTGGGGATGGCGTGTGCCTTCTCGGTGAGTGCCGGGCAGTGGGGGGACCCCCCGGCCTCGCCAGGGCTGGTGTGGGGTGCCTGCCAACCCAGTCTTTCCCCCAGGTCAAGAGCTGGCTGCGGCGAGCCAAGTCAGATGACTTGGAAGAAAATGGGGTAGGGGCGAGCCAAGTCAGATGACTCGGAAGAAAATGGGGTAGGGTCTCCCCCCACCCTGCGTGCCCAGCCCCACGTGGTGCTGGCCTTGAGGATGAGGACGTTTCAGTCACTCCTGTACCCAAGCCCCCAGACTATGAGATTTACCCCCTTCTTCTCCTGGTAGGTGTTCAAGAACAGGCACCGGTATTACCTGTACAGATACGCCTACGTGCATCCCCCGCAGCGACAGTACCAGGTGGGTGCTTCAGAGGCATTGCTGGTGCTTCACCACCCACCAAATGCAGAGATATTGGCCCAAATGAGACAGGGGCACGGTCTGCACCCTGTCTGCCACTGGCCTGCAGGGCTGGGCTGAGACCGTCACGCTCGTGACACCAATGGAGACCCACCAGTCCGGCTACAGCTCGGTTTTCCCTCTCCTTAGGGCAGTGACTCATCGGAGGAAGAGGGGGACGGCTCGGAGGAGGAAGGGGGGGTGAGTACGGCAAACCAGCAGCCTGCAAAACAAATACGGGAACTTGGGAATTTTCTTTGGTTTTGTAGTCTGTGCTCATCAGCATTTGCGGCGGCTGACCGCCCACAGCCTTGCACTCTGGATGCAACTGGATTTTCTACTCTGGGCTTTATTTTATTATTTTTTATATATTTTTTCCTTTTCCTTCTTTTTTTAAAGAGAATGGGCGGGGCATGCACCAAACAACCCTGAAACAAACTTTCCGGGTTTCCATTTTCAGTGGCTCAGAAAAGAGCAGGATGGGCCAAAGGGCAGAAGTAAGGAGGGTCACCTGCAAGGCAAAAGGCACTGTTAGGGAATCGTCTTACCTTCCCCTTTCAGGGTGCATTGCCCCCATAGTGCTGATAAAATTGCTATGGAAAATACAGTTATGCTCCGCACGCGTGCGTGTGGGGGGACACAAACTGATGCTATATTGGGAAATGCACGCTTGTACCATCCCAGCTGGTAACGCTACTCCTGTCTGCTGGGTCAATAGGAGCTCGGGCACCACTGCATTTGCGAGAGTCACCCAGGTCCAAAATTAAACGCCAGGGATTGCAAAGGTCTCTTGTGCCTCACTGGGCTGCAAACGCTCAAAAATGATCCAGTGGTCTCAGGCACACAGGTGCTTTGAGACAGGGATCCGGCATGTTGGAAACCTACGTGTCAGGTGTAAACACATCTTTGTTTTTTTTTTTTTTTAATTTAATGATTTGAATGCTAATTTCAGGGGTCTTTTTAACAAGAGTGTAAGCCAGGGCATCTGGTCTTAAAACCCCCTTTGGAGGCCCACCTGGGGCTGGGGTGCAGCACAGGGTGGCCCCTGTCCCCCAGGTGCCTCTGCCAGCCCTGGCACCTCCCTGCAATTTGCCCCTTTCTGCCTGTTGCTCTCCCCTACCACTGCGATCACTAGGGATAACTTTGAGTAGTGGGATGAGACAGCCAAAAGGGGAATTTCATTCCGGAGGAAGGATAGGCAGGAAGTCAGCTGCTGTTCGGGGCTGCCCCTTTCGTTTCAAGGGCACCAGAGTAGTGGCCGTTCCCAGGCAGGGATGCTGTGTGCCTTCACTGGCAGGGAGTGGTCAGCAAGATAAATCATAACGAAAGGCCCCAGTTATAAGTATGTAAAGAGAACTGTTATATCAGCTGCTAGATGGGGGGCATCACTCCCATCAGCACAGCTGGCTGCACAATGCAATTCGGTGGCTCCTCCAGTGGAGAGGAAAACAGCCTGGGTTTTCTCTGGCAGCAGATGCACCCATATTTTAAGTGTCCGAGTTGGCCCAAAATGCCAGGGTGAGTGTCCTTGGCCTTGGCATGTGAGCAGTGGGGATTGCCCAGGGCAGGGATGGCAGTGACCCCACGTCTCCCCGCCATGGCTGGGTTCATTTGCAGGTGGCAATGTGCTCCTCCTCCCAGGCTGGGGACAGGGTGAGCTGCCCCACCAGTTCCTCAGTGGTTGCTCCAGGCTCTGCTTGCATTTGGGTTATTCATTGCCTTTTTTAGCAGCACAGAGTGCCATGCACCCCGCTGAGAGACCTGCTCCACTGTGTGGTCTCTGGGGCCAAGCAGTGCTATTGGCTTATTGCTGGTGGGGTTCGGGCTCATGCCTGGCTTTGAGCCGTCATGCTCTTGCGAGCTATCTACACCTGGTGTGTAGTGTGTCTGCAGGTAGTGCGCCTGTGGCTTTCTTTGTTTATTGGAAACTGGGAGAGGTAACTTCACCATCAGCTGTGCTAACTTTGCTTAGATGTAAAGCAAACCTTGTAAAGCAAAATGTGTAGCCAGAACGGGAACACCTGACTCCAGCCACCACCACTTAATTGCATGGCTCGGGCTGCCTTGCTGCAGCTTCTCAATTTCAGCCTGGGGTGAGACCCATGGGAAAGCAGGAAACTCGGAGCAGCGCCCAAACATCGTGCGGGGATGCTGCGTGCCCCCCGCGCTGCTGGGAGGGCTGCGCTCTGCTCCCGCTGCTGACCACCTGCCCCATCCTCTCCCTGTCCCTGCAGGAGCCATCCCATGCTGGCACTGAGGCAGCTGGCCACCCCGCTGGAGCAGCCCCTGGGGACAGCCAGGACGGGCTGGAAGGAGACGTCGCATCCCCCCAGCAGGTGTGGTTTGGGGGGCTGGAGGGGAGCACCCGTGGGGGCAGGGGGGATATGTTCACTGCATGTTCACTTGCTCCCATGGGATGCCCTGTACCCCGTTCCTGCTTGGGGGTCTGCTGCGCAGGATGCCCACAGCTGGGCCAAGCTCTGGGCATTAACCCAGCGGGAGAGTTGGAAGGGCACCCCAAAAAGGCAGCCTTGTCATGCAAGGCGTGGGGGGGATGCTCAGCTATGCTCACACCTGCCCCATGCCACACCGTACCAAAAAGCTGCAACCTCCTGACACCCAACTAATGCTGTGTTATTTTCCCCCTGCCAGGGCAAGGGCTGCCAAGGGCCCCTGAAGGGGGGCAGGAACAGCGCTGCCGGCAAGGGGGGTGACTCTGAAAATGAAGACAGCGATGAGAATGAGGAGGAGGAGGAGGAGGAGGAGGAGGAGGAGGAGGAGGAGGAGGAGGAGGAGGAGGAGGAGGAGGAGGAGGAGGAGGAGGAGGAGGAGGAGGAGGAGGAGGAGGAAGAAGAGGAGGAGGAAGAAGAGGAAGAGGAAGAGGAGGAGGAAACTGAAGCCACCAAAGCCACCACCATCACCAGCACCACCGGTGAAGAGGGGCTGTCCCAGGCAACCACCACGGGAGATGGGGGACCCACAGACGCCACCACAGCTGGGGAGCAGTGGGAGTATGAGGTGACGGCCAGGGGACGCAGCCGGGGGGACGAGGGCACCACCGAAGGCAGCTATGGGGAGCAGGATGAGTACGCCCGTGGGGACAGCTACCAGGCCTATGAGGATGAGTACGGCTACTACAAGGGGCACGGCTACGACGTATATGGCCAGGATTACTACTACAGCCAGTGAGCGGGCAGGGGGGCAGCCCCAGTGCTGCTCCCCGCCTGCCCCATCCCACTCAGGAACATGCATCCAAAGGCTCACTGCAGCTGCTGTGCGCCAGAGGGGACACCAGGTGGCTTGTGGTGCTCACCGGCTCCGTCCCAGGCTTTTTTTTGTATCTTGCAAAGCGAAATGAAATAAAGCAACCGAACTGAGCTTGTTGGTGATGAAAGGTTTGCTGCTGAATTAGCTGGGGTCACCGGGGTGGCACAGTGCTTGGTGGCTGAGGGGCTACAGGTGCTCATGCTGCTCAGGGTTAAATCTCTGTATTCCAGCTCAGATGCACACAAAAGGAGGGAGGAACAGAAAGGCTAACTAGGAAAGCCTCTGTAGAGTCCTCTCCAAAAAATGGAAGGGCATTTTTAGGGTCACTGCTGTGGGATTACTGCCACATCTTATGTAGAGTTGACATGAATTTGCAATATGTGGGCAATGATAACTTTACCACATCTTCCACTCCTCAGTAGCATGCCTCCCATGGCCTGACCACACACCAGGCAAGATTAATAAAGGTAAAGACATTAATTTATCTTTCCGTGCATCACTAGTTGTAGATGCACACCCCTGTAATGAGATCTTTGCTTCTGCATCCCTGCGCCAGGCATGTTGGTCCCACCAAGGCCAGGCACCTCGGATGTGTTTTGGTCACTGGCGCTGCAGCCCAAAATGGTCCACGTTTCTCCCCGCCTCGTCCCCAGGGCAAGGTAGGGCTGTCACAGTGACAGTGGTGCGTCCACTCGCCTCCTGCGTCAGGGATGGGGTTACCCAGCTTGCGGTCCCCAGGATCCCTGCCCAGAGTCACCTCCCCATGAAAGCGTGGACCAGGCCAACTGGGGATCAGCACCAGAGATGGGAAAGGACCAAATTCTGCTGGTTTCCAGGCAGGTGCCCCCATTTAGGAAAAGTGATGGCCCTCACGCATGGGTTATGGCAGGTACCGCGCTGCCCTTGCACTCCTGGAAAGGAAACCTGTGTTCAGCTCCCAATATATGTCCAACTGCAAAACGAGTTTCTATTCTCACAGCAGCAAGCTGCTGTCCACTGTACAAAACCGTCTCCGTGTGCCAAAGCTGGGCTGCAGCTGCCAGGGTGGCAGGGGGTGCTGCCTGCAGGGTGGGCACCCCCGGGGCCAAATCCCTATGGTGGCACTGGGGAGCCCTGCACATGCTCGCAGCTGGTGGGGGGGACACAAGCCCCATCGCCCACATCCCCAGGGGGTGCCCAAAGACGTCAGGGAACCAGCCCTGGTGCTGGCAGGGGCCAGGTCCCGCTCCCACGGGGTGCCCAGCCCGGCCCCATGTGCGTCAGCCCCCCTGGGCACCCAGCCAAAGCTCTGCTTCCCCGAGCCAAGCCAGGACCGGCTGCTCCGGTACCCGCGGGGCAGCATCCGACCACGGCTCCCTGTCCAGGGGAGAAAGGGCAAGTTTCCTCCTGGCTCCGAGATTTGCTCCCACCTGAGGCTGGATGCTGATGGTTTAAGCATTTCTGGCATTAATGTGGCGGTCGTGCCTGCTCCCAGGGTTTGGGTTGGGGCAGGGTGGCTGGTGGGGTGAGAGCTATTGTCACCATCACTGCAGTGCACAGCTGAGCCAGGCTCACCGCAGCAGGGGGAACCCCCCCCTTGGCCTATGCATAGGCAACCAGCAATACCACCAAAGCTAGAGGGGGGCAGGAGGAGAGTATGTACGTCGTGCACATCCTCGTAGCACCTTCTCACAGCAAAGGTGGGCTCGAAAGGACCTGTGCAAGCAGTGCACGGAAAAAAAATCCTTTTTTTTTTTTACCACTCTTGCAGTTTGCACTCGCACTGGGCTTAGCTCAGGGGGGTTGAGTTTGAAACCCAAAAAGCAAGCATTGAATGCTACGGCGTGGTGGCAGCTCTCAGCTTGGCCAGTGCTGCTGGTCATGGCCGCGAGCAGGCCAGGCTCAGTGTATTGCCCTTCCCTTTCTGCAGCCCTGCCGGCTTTCCCATGTTGGTCACGGTGAGCATGCTACGACCCACTGCACCCCCTCTTATCAATAACCAGGCTGGATGTGCACCACGCTAAGATCTGCGCTAATCATCGAGCAATTTCGCCTTCAGAACAGATATTTATAAACCATGCTTTCTGTTTATCCAGTCAGGTGGAACATTTGATAGCTGTCTTCCACCACAAACACATTTTTAGCTGGAAATTACTCCCCCTGGTTATCTGCGGGCACTGCCAGCCTTGACAAATGTCCCTGGGCAGGAGCTGATTGGCTCCACGCACCCGGGGCCAACTTTAAATTTCAGCAAAGTGGGCACAGCCTCCACAGTCTGCCGCTGGGACCTGCCTTGGACGGCGAAAGGTAATCTTCTTACCTAGTTTGCCTGCCCTGTCTCTCTCCAGCCCTTCGGTTCTGCCCTCCCTGAGCAGGGCATCTCCTCAGCTGTGCACATCTCTGCATTGTGCTCTTTTGAGCCTACGTTGCTTTGTACTGCTGATCCTTGTGCATGAATTTCCTTCCAATGGTTTCTGTAGCAACGCTTGCATGGCTGAATATAGTCTCTGGGCTGGATCTGCAAGCCCAAGCTAGGGTGGATGGGTGAAATGAGAATTGTTAGCCAACAGAGCTATTGTCTCCTGCCATTTATCAATGCTGTTGAAAACAGTGTGCGAGTTTCCTAATTCAGACTTACAGCTGTATGGCTTAGCCTGCAGTGGTTTTGGTAGTCATTTATTACAAATATCCACCCAAGCTGCTTTGACAGAGTGAGTTAAGAAGCTTTAACACCTGGTGTCAGAGCGCCCATTCGGTGCTGCTGGCCATGCACGTGTCCTTGCCTCGCCGCCGTATGCATATGGCGAGAACATCCCCTTTGCTGTGAGGAGTGCAGAGAGGCAGAGTGATGCCGAGGGCCACCACAAAGGCTAGGGAAAGCTGGGGTCACTGGATAACCCTGCTGCCATGGGGCCTTTGGGACAGCAGGAGCTTTTGGGTTGCTGCTGACTGGGACCGTTGGGGACCGCAAGTCCCAGGAAGACAAACTCCAGTGACACTCCATTTTGTGCCCCCAGGAGCTGCCCAAGATGCAAACAGCCCTCATTTGCCTGTGCCTGTGCCTGCTCAGCATGGCCCTCTCGACACCCGTGAGTATGGCTCTCCCCAGCTTCCCAGCATGCCGCCAAAAGCATGGGATATACCACCCAGTGTGCCCCAATATGCTTTCAGCAGCAGGAAAACATGAGTTGTACTTGCATATAGCACCTCTGGGGCTTGGGGGGTTTTGAGGTGCTGGCACAGAGGTGAACCCAGCAGCAAAAATATATATTAGCACTGAGGTGCCTGAGCATGTCCCTTTAATTTAGCAGTTAGGGCATTGTGCAAGGGCCAGTCTGGGTCGCTGTAACTCTCCCCCTTGATTTCTGTGGATTTGGGATCTGCCCAGAGCTTTTGGCCTGGGAACAGCCAGAGCGGAGCCACAGGAAGGGAGGCGCAGGGAGGATGCTCACCTTACCCACGTGGGTAACAGGGGTCGGAGGGGCTCCTGCAATTATGTTCCAGCTATCCTAATGTGAAATTCGGACAGATATGACTGAAACAAAGTGCAAACTAAGATAAATATAATAGCCATTTTTGTCCTGCATAACTGTTGCCCAGCATTAAATACACAGCTAGAATGAAAATCTGCTCCTAGCGAAAGCTTGCTTTTCCAGCAGGGTAAGGAGGAGGGAAACTACGTCTTCCCTGAGGGCTGGGCCCTGGCCGTGTGCCCTTTAGCCCCAAGGGCAAGCTTGCATAATCGGGTCTGCTGCAGGACAGCATGGGGGAAGGCAATAAATCAGCACAGATTTGCTTTTCAGATAGGGCACAGAAGAGAGCTGGTTAATACTCTGCTGCATAACTGGGGCTGTAATCCAGCCTTTGACAAACAATGGAATAAGCCGGGAATATTTAACACTCTGGGGTGTGTTTCTGCCCCTTTCAGCTGGGCTTGGGGTGCTTCAGTGGCTGATTTTGCTGAGACCAGAGGGGGCTCCCCTTCATGGGGCTGTCTCCCCCTCTGGCACGTAGGGAATGCCCCAAAATGGCTTGGTGGGGCTCACAGGATACTCCCACCTCCAGGTCCCCCATCCCTGAGGGATGCACTGGCCAATACATCCCAAAACATGCCAGGATAATCAGGGGAAGCCAAAAGCTTGCAAGCAGGTACAGAAACCTGGCTGGGAGGGCACAGGCATCGCTGTTGAGTTGCCCAGTAAACACTGGGAATCATCACCAGTTAACCAGCTCCAGGCTCCCACTGCAGTCAGATCCCAGACGTAAGGTGGAGCACTTGTGGTGTGAGCAGTGGTGCCATGTGCTAAAACTGCTCTGCAATAAAAAGACTCTGCAGCAGAATCCAGCAAAAGGGTATTTGCAGACCAACAATATCCTATTAAAAGTGGCATGCAATGCAAGCATGCTGTAGCAGGATTTGCAATACTTTTCAGACCCTGGAAATGGGTTTTTGACCTTCCTTATTGCTGGCTTTAAGCCAGCACCCCAGGTAGTGCCCGGGAATTTATTGGCTTATCGACAGAGTTTTTCCCACCCTTCCCCAGATGCCGTGGTGTGCCCATCATGCTGGGCAGGGCAGGCGGCCGGCAGCAGGCCTTGGCAGCCGTCTGGATGCCGGGGCAGCATTTGACGCCTTGGCTCTTGCTTGTATTTTGCTGCCTGCAGGTGCCGCCACCGCTGTCCGGGAGAGCTGCCGGGAACTGCATGGGACAGCACCGGGTACGTCCCCCCCCCTGCCCCAACTGGACCCTGTGGACTGTGCTACAGCGGGGGCGCAGGGAGAAAAAGCTGCTTTTGGAGGGAAGCCCAGTGAGCCGCGGAAAAAGAGACTGTCGGTCCCCTTGCCTCCAAGCAGCCCTTACAAAGAGCAGGGGAGGGGAAAGGTGTGATGTGCTCAGGCAAGGGAAGGGCTTCCCCCCACCCCAGCTGCTCCTCTGCCCCTGCCCAGCCCTAGAGCACAAATGCTTGGTGTACTTACAGGCGAGGTTGTAAAAATCCCAGGCCCAGCTGCTATGGGGGTTTTTTTCAAGGTGTATCAGTGTAAAATGCATCAGTAGCAAAATTCAGATGAGTAGTGTGGAAGAAAATGCCTGGTTTTGCCTATTGGAAGCCAGCTGCTGTCCTTCCAGTGCTTTGGTCACCGTTGGTCCCATCACTCATGTCTGATGGGACCATCAACCAGGTTGTTTATTCAAGCCACAAGCTACCTTGCAAGAACATCCACAGCTCTACACCCCCCCCCCCCCCCCCCGCCAGCTCCTGAAAGCAAGCAAAGGCAGAAAACAAGCCCAAGGGGAAACCAAAGCCCGGAGCCCAGGAGGCGAACACATGCGTCCTGCCCAGGTCCCTGCCCGCGCTGGCAACCACAAAGTTGTGGGAGCTATCGCCCACCCTGGGGCCCCAGCAGGTGCTGGTCTGTCCCTGCTGTGGTGTCAGGCACAGCAAGGGAAGCTACTGCCGTTGCATTTAATAAGAAAATTGTGGGGTTTGGTTATTTTCTTCCCCATCAGATACTGCTGAAAGGCTGCAATGCCAAGCATGGCTTCTACGTTTTCAAATATGTCTACTCGTTTTCAACGCGGAGGAACCAGACACAGATAAAGGTGAGGAGGTGGCCAGGCCGCACAGTAGGACCCCGGCTTGGCTGTGGCGCCCCATGCAGTCGGCAAGCGCCAAGGCTGGCCCTGACTTCTCCCTTGTGTATACTGCACAGAAGGAAGAGGCCAACAGCCAGAGCACCGTCCCTGGTCACCGGCTGGGTGAGGACAATTCCAGGCGGGGGCCAACAGAGGATGGGGTGGCCCCAGAGCGAGGTGACAATGGCAGCACCAATGCGATGGAGAACGGGACCGGCCTCAAGCCCAAAAACCACAGTGCCCCAGGCATTGGTGGGGATGCTCACATTCCTCGCCCAGGCACCGGCACGCGAGCGCGCGGTGGTGTCGGTGTTGCGGGTCCCACCCCGGCCAGCTCGGAGGGCAGCGGCGACCTGGATTTGGTAGTTGAAGTTGAAGATGGTGTTTCCATTCTCCCCCAGGGTGGACGCCCTGGCAAGGCCATGGCGGGGAACAGGACCAGTGTCAGGAGTGAAGACAGGAACGATGGTGCCCCCAGGGGGGTTCCAGTGGAGGGGGCCACAACAGCCGGGAGGGAGAGGGCCCCCGCCACTGGAGGGGCTGGGGATGAGGGCAGCGGTGAGGCCACCGTCCCTGGCCAAGAGCAGAAAGGTGACATGCGGGGCACAGGGATGGGAGGCGCCACTCTCGCCTCCATCACTGAGAACATGGAGGATGTCCAAGTTGACGCCAAAGGTGTGGATGAATACACTTACATCCCTGACTCGGGCAGTGTCACCGTCACCCACGGGAAGGTGGGCAGCACAGTGAGGGCCACCAGCTTCACTCAAATCTCTCCGGACAAGGACGACGAGGTCAACATCTTCATTGGGAGGGCCAACATCCATGTCGGGGAGCAAGAAACCACCCAGGCTAGTGCCACTGTTGGCAACGAGGATGACAGCATCCCCACTGCGGGAACCAGCAGCTCCCTGCCCGGGCTGGGCATCACTGCGGCACATGATGGCGATGACAATGGTGGCCTCTCTGCCCATGGGCAGCCTGAAGGACCGGCCACCACAGCCACCCCAAGCCACAGGGACAGCGTCATCAGCAGCCCTGGGGATGGCCGTCCCACAGGAGATGATGATGGTGCCACCACCACTGGTGACGGAGAAGGACTGGTGGCCCCCGGCCCCTGGAGGGTTGCTGATGGTGATGTTACCATCCCTGTGGGGGCTGGCCTCCGCGGGAATGGTGATGATGAGGTGAGAG